CTGTCGGTGGCTTAGTCCCATTGTAAGTGACATGGATGGAGTTTGACCAGTGGGTAGGACCAGTGTCCCGACGTTCCACGGCCGTGTCCCGACGTTCCACGGCCCGCCTGGGCTGGCACTAGCCGGTCCGAACTGCGGAGACCCCAGGAGAACTGCGTTTGAGTTCGTTCAAGATTTTGGCAACTGTGTGCTTTCCGGAAACGACGCTCCCCTGTGTTGGGTCCGCTCTGCTGAGCGGTCTTTGTCTGGTCCTGCCTTTCCACACGCGTCTAAGGACTCTTTAACCCCAGCCGGTGGGGTTTTGCTAGGGCATTGTCACCGCAGCTGATCCATGCCGATCGCAGAGCTGCGGGTGGCATGGCGCCTCTGCTCCGAGCACGGCTTTTTTGTGACTTGTGTTGACCCAGGATGGGAGACTGAGCAGCCCTTTTTTCACTTCCCTTCTCCTCCCCCCCATGACTTGAGAAACGTGCCGAGCGAGCGAGTTGGTGGAGGCAAGATCACGCCCGCGAAGTACAGTACATACAACACTCGGAAACTAAGCGAGGGGGATGGGATAGGGCTCCCTCTAGCTTGCTGCGAGCCAGTTCAGTCCGGTTTTTTCAGCTTCTCTGCTCTAGCAGAGTTCCCCACCCCCAGCTGCAGGCAAGTGAAGATTTCTCTAAAAGAGACAAAAGACCTGCCCCTTTCCTCCCCAGCTGTAAGTCGAACAGTCCGTTTTAATAATGTTTTTCCTTCCGTTTACATAACCATAGTCGCTCCCCTACCCCCCACAGCCCACGTAGCCTTCTAAAAATATTAAAGCCACCCCCCATGAATAGATGCAGTCTAATTTTTTTTCTAGTCCACCTAAGAAATGTGCAAGCTCTCTTGCTGTTCTTTCTTCTGCATTAATTGTATTCCCACCTCAAACAGGCTGTGGATGAAGGAAAAGGCCACGAGTTAAGTGGAGTCTGATCAAACTGGTATGAACCAGATTTCAGGCAAACATTAGTTCTTCCAGGCAGTGAACGCTTAAATAGATGAACCCAGCTGCCTTGGTAGTGCTAACAGCACTGCTTACAGTTGCATTTCCAAGCTCATTTTTTGACAAATCTTATACTGGATGGACCAGGTACGTTGGTTTGCATGAGATTTCCTTGAGCACAGAAATAAATCTGTTACAACACAAGCAAGTTTGCTAGACCCACAGATGGGAAGGGGAATAGAATTTTATTTGCCATGCCGGTTCCTATCTAGCGGTTACCTCTTCATCAAACAATTTCAGAGGCAGTTCAGTCATTCTTCATCGGTTTTCACTTCCATTCTGTGATCAAAGCACTTACACTCCATAGTCTGGTACTTCAAGTAAAAGAACACTGGATACACCAGATAGATGAATGGGATCAATTCTGAACTTCTTTAATGCAGCAACATGCTTGAATGGTGATAACGTTACTATTACTTCCATGTATTGTTCTAAAAGCTAGTCCTGGAAATCCCTTTTAACTGGTTTGGTGCACACATTGTCCTAAAAATATCTTAGAACAAATGGATAGAGCATCAAGCTGATGAACTTTGGGAAGTACTAAAACCAGAGGCTGCCTTTTTAATACTAGAGTAGTGGCTGTCAAACTTGTTTTCTCCCATGGGCCACTTGAAAATTGCTGAGGGGCTCATTGAACTACTCAGTGATCCTTCACCAATTGTAAAGTGCTGTGGATAAAACTTAATAAACATTTTTTTGTACAAATAAAAGCACACCACTCTTGATAGTATCAGTAGGGGGTTTCTGCTCCCACCCCTGGCTACAGGGAAGGCGGGGGGGCCAGTCTTTTCTTGGCAGCCACTCCGGGAACTGGGGGGAAGTCGCCTCTCTGGCTGCCACAGTCCTGTGCATCAAATTCTCTCTCCCCCTCCCCGTCTTCTCACCTTGCTGTCCTGTCCCACCTACTCCCTGTTCCCCTACACCTTATATGTGCATTACCACTATACCTTACATGGGCATATTCAGGATCCAGGCACCTAGCTAGTGCCACATTGCCTGTGAGCCACTAATTCCATGAGTGGCCCTTCATCCCCTTGTGTGTGGCCACCCAGGCAGGCACCTTAGAGGAAGTGAGCCCTGATCTACCTAAATGGAGGGAGTTTGCAAACCACTGGTAGTCCCTGAATCTCAGTTGAAGAGCCTTTGTACTAGACTATTACAGTCAAGTTTTAAGCACGGAGTTCTACTGATGCAGAAATGCCTTCCTGAGAAATAAATTGGTGTGAAACCACACTCAAACTTCTGAACAGTGTTCCCTGTAAGCTGGGTGGCCATGTGGGAGAGTTTCAGATGCCACCCACCTCATTAGCAGAGCCCCCACAGCTGGCAACACCCAACAGAATGTGTGTCTACTGGTGGTGCACATTTCATACCTTGGTGCACAACCATTTATTCTGCACATGGGCAGAAAAATTTAAAAGGAACATTTGCTTTACTCTATAAGGTTTCAGCAGCCAAGCCAAGTACAAATAATCTGTTTTTTTTTTTTCCCTTTCAAACTGACTTGGAGACCCTGTGCCTTCCTCCATATAATGTGGCACATGGAGTGACATGTATCTGGCTGGAATTGGGATGAGATTTTTTTTCCATGGGATCTATTAAACACAGACTAGGAAACGAACTTTATTTGGTGCTACATCCTTCATTGGCAACTGATGTTCTGGTCACTTGCCCCTTTTCAATATTGCAAAAAAAAAATCTGTACAATTTTTCCACTTGTGGTAAGTAAATGCTGAAGAATATGAAAAGTTGTTTCCTCTTACCCCCATACTGATCAAGCAGTTCCTTGGCTACATAAATGTGCAGCCCCTTTTAGCATCTAAAGTGCTGGGAGAGAGCACTAGCCTAGGACTTGGAGAGCCATCTTCAGTTCTGCCACTGGCTTCCTGTGCAACCCTGGGCAAGTCACATAGTCTGTGCTTCAGTTCCCTAGCTGTAAATAAATAGGGGGTAACACATCCCCTTTTCACAGGAGTATTAAGGATAAACTAAAGGGTACAGGTCGAACCTTTCTAGTCTGGCATTCCGGTCCAGTAACGTCTGTGATTCATCATGATTTTAGTAAGCTAGATGTCAGCTTATCCTGAGTGTGACCAAGTTTTCTATTGGGATATCAATGGTTAATCCTTGAACATCACCAACGGGTGATGGTTACCTGTTAACTGGTAGTCAGGTTGAGCTGGAGCAGCTTCCTACTCAACATGAGTAAGGGCTGCTCCAGCACAGCTGGGCCCTTTGGGTGGGGGGGGTCCTCCCCCCCCAAAGCAGCCTCAGTGGGCAGGGTGCCCAGCTGGAGTCGCCTACCACCCACCCCTGTTTAAACAGTTAACCAGCATGTTTAACCGATGAAATGGGATTTTACATTAGTTTCCTGCAGTTCAATCAAGTTTGTTTACAGCCACTGGTCCTGGCTCCCAATGCTCTGTGCTGTTCAGCTCTAATTGACCCCTAAATGAATTCTCCGAGTCCAGTAAGCAGTAGAAGTGTTGGCAATGCTGCTGGACCCGAGTAAGCAGTAGAAGTGTTGGCAATGCTGTTGGACCCTATTGACCTCCTGTGGTCCAACAAATTCTCTGGTTCAGCCCTAGTCAGATCCCCAGGGTGCTGCACTAGAGAGGTTCAGCCTGTGCTATGTAAGAGGAGGGACGTAGAACTCTCAGAGCTGTATTTGGTCAAGTTCCCTCTTGCTGCTAACATGACTGAAATGGAAGCTCCATATTATAGAATCTCTTGCTTTTGTTGTTGAACTTTCAAATTAAAGCTCTGCCCCTTTAACCATTCTTCTCTCCATTGACGTGTGATGGGCTCTAGAGAGCCTCCTTGGTTGGGAATAGTTGGATTGACCTTGTCACTGGTGTTCCTGAAGCTGTGCTGTAAAGGGGGTGGAGTTTGTCCTGGAGCTGTTTATTGTCCTGCTTCCTAGATCATAACTTGCTCCTCCTGTCTGCTTGCCCCTCCTCTGTGTTCTGCATGATCACATTGTGCTGAGTTGCCTCCCGCTACTATGCATGCCCCGTAATCTGCAGCAGCAGGGGATGATGGTGTCTGGACGTATCCCACTCAAACAGACCTTGTGTCCTGTATCTGATAGAGCAACTGCCTGACAAGTAGCAACCTTGCTGCAATCCACCTGGTGGGATGTTTCCCACAGGTTGTGCTGCGGGTTCTGGCTTCTATCCCTGTGTGTTAATTGTCTAGAGCAGCTTCCTGGTGGCACTTCTCTGGTTTGGTTTCCTTAGCTAATCGACTGAGTGACCAGAGGAAGTCGAGTCTTGTACTCTGCTTGGAAGACTAGCAGTCTGCCTCTGGCTCGCCCAGACAGAAGGGGATTCCACGGTGCAGGACCCTCTTAGCAGTCATGGTGGCAAATTGGAAGAGTGGGTGTGGGGGGAACCTTGAAGTCTGCCTGCAAGCAGACTGAAGCTAGATTAGGTGTGAAGAAGGGGGTGTAATATGCCTGTGCACAAACTCTCCATTAAGCAGATGGGCTGTGGCTTACAAGTAGCACGGCTGCCATGACCCAGTTAGCCGGATGGGCACTTTGGAAAGGACAATGTGAGGAAGGAAAGGTTACCTGCCACCCTATTAGTCACTTCAGATGGCAGCTTTCTTTTCTTTGTACCATTCAGCACCTTCAGGTAGTTCTGACGGCTATCCAGCGTCTTGGGGTTTAACTTTTCTATCTCAATCTAAATTTTGGTAGTGTTGGCTGGAGCACTGAAAAAACCCCTCCCTTTTTTTTCCCTAGCTAGCCACTCCTTACTTTGCAGGCCAGCAGAAGTATGTGATGTCAACATTGCTGACACTTGTCCAGAGTAGGTGCCTGTAGAACTAGACTGTTACTTAATATTTTATACCCTGGTCTCCTGGCTAATGGTGAAAATGGGTTCTGAGAGGTGCCATTTACACTAGTGTGCTGTTGCCTTGATGGGAGGGAGTGAACGTCTCTTAGCTGGGTGCTTCAAAGACCATGCAGAGCACTGAGAAGTTGCAGTATAGGAGCATGATGGGAGGGAGTGAACGTCTCTTAGCTGGGTGCTTCAAAGACCATGTAGAGCACTGAGGAGTTGCAGTACAGGAGTATGTGTGTTGTTTTTTTTTAATGATTCTAGTTGTAGCCTGGCAGTGCACATGGGATAAGAGCGCAGAAGAAACAGAGCCCTGCACAATTATTATTTTTTAATATTCCATAGCACCTGTAGGTCACAGCACAGGGAAGGGGTGGGGAACCCATTATGCTGGGTGCTGTACATGTCCCTGTTAGAGAGGGCGCAATGTGAATAAATGGGACAAAGGAAATGCTACCCCCATTTTACAGGCGAGGCTTAGAGGCACAGTGACACACCCGAGGTTATCCAGGAAGTCTGGTAGTTGGGAACTGAACCAAGTCCCCAAGCTGGCGGTATCCTCGACCCGCCGTAAGCTGTACGTATTGCTTTTTTGGAAGGAAAGGAGTGATGTGAGCCGTTTTTCCTGCCTTTCCGCAAGTGTTTGTAAACACATGTACTCGGCTGATGAGACTGACCTACAGAATAGATGGAGCGTGCAGTATGGGGTATGAAACTTGTCTTGTTGGTGGGTAGAGGTGTAACTGGATAACTGTTTACACTTTTAAAGATAAGCCTGTGCTTATTGGTTACTGTTAATGGTTACACACAGGCTCCTGGCCTGCTCCCAAGGAGTTGTCACCTGGCACTGCTGGCTCTGTATTAGCAGCAGCAGCTGGTGCACACTGAGAGTTGGCTTAAGCCAGCTCCTGATGTGCAGTGGCTCCCGGAAAGCTGGCTGCTGCCCCATGCTACAGGTACATGTTGTAACTGCTGAAATTTTCAGCGGTCTGTTACCTGCTTTTTTAACATCCCTGTTGGCGAGTGCTCTAGAGATGTGACTAGCTTGCTCTTGTAGATTGTTTCCATGTTAAATGTACTGTAGCACTTGATTATTGGAAAGTTCTAGCTACTCATTTATTGGGTTGAGAACTACTCAGTTATAGGGTTGAGAACAATTAAGTAACTTATCCATGGACTTGTCCTCTTTCTGTTCAAGGATATTGAGTGCAGGGTAACTTCCTCATGTTAAGCTTTGATTTTGTTTGTTTTTTGTTTTCTGGTTTCTTGGTTTTGTTAAGCAATCAACTTTGCAGTCTGCAAGTGTCTACTATTAGAGCAGTGGCGTTGAATTGTGATTTGCGAGAAGTGAGGTAGTGGATGTCTAGTGTTTGTGGGCTCATTCAACTAATATACCAAGTGTAGGGAGGGAAAAGCAAAGGGATCATGACACCATTGTTGCTATCAACCTGTCTTGTGGTGTTAACACTACTTTGTTAGCAAGGGGTCATGGCTTTGTTTGGGGATGTGGTTAGCATGTGTGTGTGGTTTGTGATCACTATGTAATATGAGCAGTCTTGTGAGTTAACTTCCTTGGGGATGCAGTCAGTAAAACTCAATTGAATCAACAAATATATACACGACAAAAGAATTAGCTTAAACTGGATCTGACTATTCTACAGTATTTTTCCAAATTTGAATAACTCCTGACTTCATGTAAATTACAAGGTGGTTACATTGCAGCTACATGAAATACCTTCAGGGAAATGGTAAAATGTACTAGCCAAGATGGACTCATTTTTGCATGCACAAGATCTGCTCGTGATGTCCTCCTGTAACTTGGTGACTGGCTTCCTTTAAGACAGTACTTTGCACCACTAAAGTATTAGTCCATGGATGGTAGTACTGCATGCAGAGGAGAACAATTCCCCTTAATACAGTCTGAAGACCAAGAACATAGAACCTCCTCAATAATGAATTCCAACTAGCATGCTCTCAGGTTGCAAACTAAACGTATTCAAATCCTTCCTGCACATTAGGTATTGTTACTATGAAAGTCTGTTACTGAAATAGCGTGAGGCGCTCTCGAGGATCCTCAGGGATGATGTCTTGTCGCATACCTTCTCTCCCTTGTTTGCACGTTGTCCCGTGACTTAGGCTTCATGATGATGGTAATTGAAGATACTTTGAGTCTTATGCCACTTTTGGTTGCTCCCTGTGGGATGTGGTTCTCCATTTGCCCATAATCTGAAGGCTCGCTGCTTTTGTCTTGCAGGGTTTATATCGGCACAAGAACCAAGACCAAGTACCATGGCAGCAATCCCATCCAGCGGCTCACTTGTGGCAACCCATGACTACTACAGAAGTAAGAACGGCTACGTGGCTCTTTGTGAGCGCCTCCACCGGGCCCCCATTCGACCGTGTTACAGATGTGGCTGGGTGGGGAATAGACCTGTCTTATTCAGACCTCTTTCCGTGGCATGATTTAGCTCGGTCACTGAACTCTGCCCTTACCTTAGTCGAAGATGGTAGTGCCCACGCAGGACTGCTCAAACAGCCAAACTGGCTTTCTCCCCACAGTGCATGTATAGGCCCCTCTAACTTGCATTTCCCAGGAGGCCAAAGGAGTTGAAAGCCCATCCCTCGCTGCATTTCAGTAGGGCCTGGGCTCCCAACGCCGTTAGATGCCTCTGGAAAATCCCAGCTTGACAGATCTGTGCTTCCCATAGAACTGATTCTTCTTTGTGCCCATGCCAAAGCCATCAGCGTCCGTGGCCTTGCTCAGTACCAATGTACCGTTTCTCTCGATTGTTCCTTTCAAAGCAGCACCCGCAGAACCCCTTACAACACCCAAAGTGGGGGTTAATTTAGAAACGTCCGCTGCTGGCCATGGAATTTCTGACATTTCATCCATCCCGGGGCTAGGCTTTCTTTAAACAAAGACCCGTTCTTGTGCACGCAAAACAAATGCCTGACGCGGCGGTATTTTTGTTGAAACAGGAGACTGAGCCAAGAATGGGGGCGAGTCCTATTTACTAATCAGCAGGGAGATAACCCACACTCGCTTCATTGGACAGGCATCCTCTGTACTCAGCAATACGAGCTGCCATACAAAGGAACAATGATTTTTTCCATTGGGGGCTTAAGGGTTATTTACCTTGAAATGGGGGTGGGGGAAGGAGAAGGGTACTAGCTATAAGGCCAGGTTTATACTGGTGGAGAAAAATCTATGCAAGATGCACAATTCCAGCTACATGTATTGTAGAAACTCTCCTGTCAACTTCTTACTCCTCACAACCGCAAGGCATTTGGGAGTTGACTGGGGGCTCCCTCCTCATTTGATTTAGTGGGTCCTTACTAGGCCTGCTAAATCAAACGCCAGAAGATTGATCTCTGGAGCATCAATCCTTCATTCTAGTATAGGCAGGGCCTGACATGATGTAGAAGAACTACTTCTGCTAAAGGCAAATTAAATAGAAAAGATACAGGCATCTTGTGGCCACACGAGCTGATTGTATAGGGCACATCTTCTGCTGTTGATTAAGCTTCACCTACTGAGGATTGGGTTTGTGGTCTTTTCCCCACAGCCCTGTTAGATGCAGGGTGGCAGGGGGAATTCTCATGAAGCACCCTGGGCATTTGGATAGGAGTTGCTGGAGACCAACAGCTTTTGGCCAACTGGCATCGATTGTGATTCACCCTCAGGCAAGCCCCTGCCATACAAGGGTGCCTGTGCTACACAGCTGCTGTAGGGTAGGCACTCTTGCATTGGTGGAAAGCTTTACCCATCCATTTGGGTAATGCCTTGCCAAGAGGCAGTAGATGGGGGATGGAAGAATCCATCCGTTGGCCTAGCTCTGTCTATGCCAGGGGTTAGGCCGACCTAACCGCAGTGCTCGGGGGCAACGTTTTTGACAGCTCCAAGCCACTGAGTTGATTCATCCTGAGTTTTTAGGTATAGAATTCTGGCTTACCCTCCCCACTGTGCATCAAACCAAAACCTGCCCTTCCCCCAAACCTCCCTGACTTAGACTCCTACACAAGCCTTCCGCTGTAGTTTTGTCTGCAAGCAATTGTGTGTGGGTTAAACTTGGCTGCTTGTGTCCACTTTGAGATGACTCACTAATATTTTCTAGATGGTTTAGTTGGACTTTACCACTAGTGCTCCAAGCAGTGGCGTTAACCTGCTGCTGCTTGTAACTACCAAGCTTTCATGGACGGCTGTTTGAGGTTCTTTGTATCCACACGGGTGAGATGGCACTCGCCCATCCTTCTTCTGACATTCCCTGACGCTTGCTGTCTGGAGTGGATGTCATTAAATGTTGGGGCACGTACCAGCGGAGCAGGAATCAGCTGGTACAGGAATGCACATCTGGACCTAAAACAGTAGCCTAGCAGATGGTTTCTGTAACGGCAAGCCATGTAGTAACTACTGTGAGGATATTGGCTGTGGCAGATGATCCAATATTGGCGGGGAGGTCTGATGCGATGCAATCTCATTCACAGGGCGTCTGGGTTCCACTTCCAGCAACAGCTCCTGCGGAAGTGCTGAATACTCTGGGGAGGTCATCCCCCACCATCCGGGTAAGCACCTCTTCTACAGCCTGGTCCTTAGGCCAGCCCCCTCCCGGGGGGGGGGGGGGGGCAGCATTTGGCCAAAACGTCGTG